CTACTACATTGCACTTACACACAGTCAATAAATCACTGTTGAATGAGTGAAGTTTAAAATAGCAAAAAGGAGGAAGCATGTCTGAAAAACGGTTGGCTAATCAAAATTACAGTAATGGGAGGCATTCTGGACTGATGTCATTAAACCCCCAAATCTTTCTGCATTGATTGGACCCATTGAAACCAGGTACTTTAAGAAGAGGAAAGAGCCCTCCCTTTCTGTGTCGGGGATTCTGAACAGAGAAGGGGAAGCCCTGGCGGCTTCCCTCGCGGGGTCTGAGGACAGCTGGAAAAGGACTGACAGCTGCCCTGCCGGACCTGATGAGAGAGAGCTCAATAAATACTTTTTGACTGAAGGGAAGAACAGCTTATGCCTTCTGTCCCGGCTGCACTGGCCTCCTGGCTCCTCTTAAGGTAGGGAATAATCTGAGAAGTGGAGTTTGTTTCCAGCAAATAGGGCACAGGTCAGCTTGGCCACAGGAACGCTGGCCTCTGGCTAACACGGGCTCGCGTGTTTCACAGAGGTCTCCCGACTTCTGCGGCCAGCGCTGTCTTCCCTGCTCCCATCAGAGTAGAGCCACCTCTGTTCTGACTCCTCCAGGCTGTAGCATCAGGAGCAGCCGCTTCACTCTCACTGTGTCTTAGGAAGACAAGCCAGGTGTGGGGCTGCGGACCAATCATTAGGGACTCTAGTAACTTCGGTAACTTATAAATCAGAAGTGATTCTCATCAGGTATACATTTTTCTGATTTGAAATGGAAACTATTTTCAAATATTTAACACTAATATTAAACATTACTATTTTTAGTATTTAATACTAAACTTTGTATAACTTTTATTCCCTTTCATTTTTTTCTAACAGGAGGTTGTGATAATATTATACATGAGTCCACTCTGAAGGCAGACACCTAGTTTTCTTTCTGCTCTTTTTTAGGGCAAAGATAACCTCAAACAGAACATTAACATGAAGAAATTCCCAGTATGATCTATCCCTGGGTTATCTAAACCAATGAGCTTAAAATTTTAGAAGACTGATGGGGGTGGGGTGAAACAAGGTTATGGCCTCAGCCCCAGAAATTCTGATTTAACAGATTTTAGGGGAAGTCAGAAATGTGTACTTTAAGAAGTATTCTAAGTGATTCCAGAGTAACTGTTTCACAGACCCCACTGGCAAACACCGATATACACCTTGGACAGAATATAGAAAGGAGGTTGAAAAGAACACACCTGACCCAAGAACTTAAAGATGTGACCCACTGTATAATAAGATAGCAACAGTGAGTAACAAAAATTAATCAGCAGTCACAAAAGACAGCTTCACCTATGACAAGGCAGTGATTTATTCTCAGAAGCAAATCATCAAACACTGCTGTTGGTGAGTAAACAAACTACTAAAAATGCATGTAGTCCTTGATGGAGAACTGGGTTTTATGAAATTCACTGTGTTTCTTCTGTAGAATAATGGAGCAATACTAAATGTATCATATATAAAATGATTCAGTCTATAAGTGAAAAAAAAAAACAAAAAATTTCAGATATTTGCAATAATAGGTAGTTTGAGAAGAATAAATCTTGGACAGTTCATCCCTTGATTTTTTCATATCCATGGAACTGGCTGTGGATGTTACCTAAAATCCCACCCATGGGTCAGCTTTGGTTTCCTCATTTGTTTTAGGCACTTTTAAAAATGAATCATTCTTTTTCCACCCCTTCATATCCCCGCAGGAGTTTTCCTTTATAAGTATATAGTGTAAAATCTATTCAGGTTAAAGTTAGTTCCTTGAGAATGGGCTGGCAAAAACCAGATATGTCTGGAAGATATTCTGAAACAACATGAAACAGATGTTCACTGAAATGTAATTGTCACCGTAATGAGTATGCGGCAATGCAGATTCTTGTAAGAAAAGCTAAAATTCAAAATGGTGTATTTAAGATCATAACTATGTAAAATCCTATACTGTGAAGACAATCGTGATTGATTCTACTGTGATGGGCAAGACTCCCTAACCAGGTAGCATCTTAAGTCCCACGGACCACTAGGAGAAGGGGAGCTAAACACGAGGTGTGAGTCACTCTACAAGAGGCCCACCAGACACAGCGTCTTCTCCAACTCTCAGGAGGTTAACATGCCACATGTTACAAGCCAATAATCTATCCTTTGATAATTTAGCTTATTCCTTAGCACAGACCCTCCTCACAGTTGAAAATCTGTATTTAACTTACAGTTCGCTCTCTGTATATAAGGTTCCTCCGTATCTGCAGTTCACACCCATGGATTAGACCAAGTATCAGAGCAGATCATGTAGTACTGTAGTATTTACTGCTTAAAAAGGTTGCATAAAACTGGATCCGCACAATTCAAACTCATGCTGTTCAAGGGACCGTGTCAATGGGTGTTCTCGCTAACTCTCTGTGTACTATTATTTCCTTAACTTAAATCAAGCTGTTATAACACACAAAATTAAAAACAAGAGATTCTCCCTTTACATTCTTTGATGTCCATCAGAGGTTTACACATTTCCAAAGACATCTCAAGCGACCTGTTTCACTTGGGCTAATCATTTAAACTCACCTGTAAAACAGGCATGCTCTGGGTTTTGCCCATATCACAAGGTGGCTGTATGTGCAAAGCAGCACGCACAGCAGGATGGAAAAGCTGTGGCATTCAGAGCCACGCAACCACGAGTTCTACTTCTGGCTCTGAAACTTACTAGCTGCGCAACCTCGGTCAAGCCATTAAACTTCTCGGAGCCGCAACATGAAGTGGACAATCTCTACCTTATAGGGTATATGCATGCACAACATACAACAGATGCTCAAGAAAAGCTAGCTATTATCATAGTGGTGCCATGTAAACCATAAAACATAATGCAGTGTAAATGCAATGTGTTCACAGTGATAATAGAAAGAGGAGAAAAATATAAAAACAGAACTAGCAAGAGAAGCACAGTACTGGGAGTGTGAAAAGTACAAGATGTGCTTGGAGAGGGGTAACATGACATAGCTGAAGGATAGCACTCCTGATTTTTATTCTCAAAAATGCGAAAAGCCATAAAAGGCATTTGGAGCAAAGTCTAACAAGGCAGTATCTACACTTTAGGAAAATACTTTTTGGGAATGTGGAAGATGATATGGAGGAAGAAAAGCCAGAGGCATGACAACAACTTGGTTACGAGACAAGAGGGCATGAAATTGGGCTGGAACAAGGGGAACGAGGCAGAGCACTGGGTCTGGAGGTGAAGAGCTAGATGGTTGTTGTAACAGTGCAAGTGAAATAAAGGGGTAACCGGTACGTTAAGGGTGTAAAGCAATAAAGAGGATAAAGAAATTAAGATGGCCTTCTTGAGTAAAAGAAAGGAGAAAAGGGAAAGCGTGAAGGTGTTAGCTGCTCAGCTGTGTCCGACTCTCTGTAACCCCATGCACTGTAGCCCTTTGGAACTCCTCTGTCCATGGAATTCTCCAGCCAAGAATACTGAAGTGCGTTGCCATTCCCTTTTCCAGGCGATCTTCCCAAACCAGGGATCAAACTCAGGTCTCCTGCAGTGCAGGCAGATTCTTTAGATTCTTCACCATCTGAGCCACCAGGGAAGAAAAGAGAAGGGAGATTCAACATGGTTTCAAGGGCCTGAGCGGGTGACTGCTGCTAAGTCACTTCAGTCGTGTCCGACTCTGTGCCACCCCATAGATGTACCCCGTCCCTGGGATTCTCCAGGCAAGAACACTGGAGTGGGTTGCCATTTCCTCCTCCAATGCATGAAAGTGAAAAGTGAAAGTGAAGTCGCTCAGTCGTATCCAACTCTTAGCGACCCCATAGACCGCAGCCTACCAGGCTCCTCTGCCCATGGGATTTTCCAGGCAAGAGTACTGGAGTGGGGTGCCATTGCCTTCTCTGCAGTGGGTGACTAGGAGAATGTTAATTCAAGAACAAGGGAGGATGAGTTTAGTTTGGTACAAGAGGAATCAAAGGCATTTAAAAAGATGTCCAGTAGACCCCAGGAGAAAGACCTGAGTTTCTTATGTAGACTTGGGAGTCATCGCCATAGAGATGAGAAGTAAATCTGATAGGGCTCAATGAGAATCAGAGTTTAGAATCTATTAAATAATTATAGGAAAGAGTCTTAATAAATGTAAACACATTTACACAGGACTAAAGAGGACAGAGGTTGGCTAAATAAGTCTCTACCAGCAGTGGACTCAAAAAGACATAACAGTGTACAAAAATGAGAACCATAGTATCTACAAAAATCTTATTAGTTTACTACACTTATCCTTTTTACATTAACCCTTAAAAATAAAAGCTAATAAAACCATAGGGTTCCTTCATGCATATAAATTAGGACTGGTCAAAACTCAGTGCTTCTCTGTTTGTAATAGCTGGGACATGGAAGCAACACAGATGTCCACTGCAGACGAATGGATAAGGACATTATGGTACATATATACACAAGGGAATATTACTCAGCTATAAAAAAGAAGGCCTTTGAGTCAGTTCTAATGAGGTGGGTGAAACTAGAGCCTATTATACAGAGTGAAGTATGTCAGAAAGAGAAACACCAATATGGAATTCAGAAAGACGGTAACGATGACCCTATATGCAAGACAGCAAAAAAGACACAGATGTAAAGAACAGACTATTGGACTATGTGGGAGAAGATGAAGGTGGGATGATATGAGAGAATAGCCTTGAAACATATATATTACCATATGTAAAATAGATGACCAGTGCAAGTTCAGTGCATGAAGCAGGGCATTCAAAGCTGGTGCATTGGGACAACCCAGAGGGATGGGGTGGGGAGGAAGGTGGGAGGGGGGTTCAGGATGGGGGACACATGTACATACACCCAAGGCTGATTCACGTCAATGTATAGTAAAACCACCACAATATTGTACAGTAATTAGCCTTCAATTAAACTAATTTAAAAAAAACTCAGTGCCTCTAAACATCTGCCTATGAAATTCAACAAAATCTTTTCATATCAATAAATATTCAAAGGCAACTAATTCAAAAATGTCAATGTTTATTTACACATTGCATATTGCAAAAAGCTTGAAGGAAAAAAAAAAAAGAAGTTTCAATAGGAAGTTAATGAGCAAATTCTGCCTGTTTCTAGCACTTGGGGGAGATTGAATCTCGGCATTCTTAGAGACTGGAATCCTGATGGAAGACCTTCAGATGTTCTAATCACTGGCCAAGGAAGTGCCATACTTGATCTGCGTTTAAAATGGGGAAGCAGGGTGTTAGGGAAGGGGTGAAGAGGGAGGGAGGAGGGAAGAAAAGAGAAGACAAATTAAATTTAGACTTTCTAGAAGTATTTAGGCAGATAAAAACAATCAGAACTTAGGGTGACACATTTCTATACTTAAAGGCACTCACCTTTAAACTCTCATTCTAAGCTCTCTCATTTGGCTCAGGTCTGATATTCTAGAGGCTCCCACTTTATTCCATGCATCTTGCTGGGTTCTTTAGCCTTTACTGATTAATACTGAAGCTCAGCATCTTAGCTGTGGCACAAAAGGTCTAGGCAAACCCTGTACTGTAAAATGTGACTGCCTGTCAAATAGCCCAGATGGGACAGTATCGCAAAGAAACAATCTGCTACTTCCCCCTATAAGGAACAGAGCTTGCCTCCCCATGAAATCATTGTCTATAGATTTGCTCCTTTCTAAACATCTTAGAACTTGGACTCACAGCAAATAGTTCTCATTTTTTCCTCCAAACTTGCAAGTTGAGTATTCTAATATATTAAAACAAAAAGACAAAAAGCCTTGCAATATTTTAAGAGCTAGATAACACATACATATTTTGAAGCTTTTACTACAGAACATTTTTGTTTCTCACAACAGCTTTAAATAATGGTAATTTAAAAATTCTGTTTTTAATTCTACTTTAAATTTTGATTTTAACATCTTCAGTTAAAATGAGTGGGGACTTCCCTGGTGGTTCAGTGGTTAAGTATTTGCCTTCCAGTGCAGGGGACACAGGTTCTACCCCTGGTGGGGCCCAGGGGAACTAAGATCCCACATGCTGCAGGGCAACCAAGCCCATGCGCTGCAATTAGACAGAAGCCCACGCACCACAACAAAAATCCCACGTGCTGCAACTAAGACCTGATGCAGCCAAATAAATAAGCAATAAGAATATAAAATGAGTGACTCATTAAAATAATGATAGATGATAAATAAAATCTCACCAATGCAGACATTAGAAGTCTTAAAATTTATCTGAACTAGCTGGAAACTTAGGACTTCACCAGCAAAGTCTGCACAAACTGTTTTCCAGACTAAAAGTAACAAACGTGTTCCTTATTTTCTGAAATTAGAAAACAACTGATTTCATCTGCAAGTTTTAGTGACTATTTTAGGATGCACTTTACTTAGTTTATATCATTTTTAATCTACTGCATTTTTTTGGACTCCAGTACTGTAAACAAATAAATTTACATATCTAGCTCCTTAAGAACCAACATATACCATACCTTCTTCATTACTTCCTTTATTCAATGAAAATGACACCTGAAAGAATAAGAACAGAGTCTGTTATAACAAATATTTAGATGTGGAAACTATACTCAGAATGTTTTTTAAAAAAAAACCATAAAATTATAGAACAAAGTTTACACACAATGGTTCTCTAACCTGAAAAAAGTGAACACTCCTCTTTACCTTTTTATTGTTATTGCCCATTCTTTTAAATAAACAAACCATAGGCTTAAGATTCAAATAAGATAAAAAGCATTCTTAAAACTATTTTCTCTCATTAACTACTGAGAATATGAAGAGACATTTTCTTTCAGTTCTTCCTTGGCTGGTTCTTTAGAATAAAAAGCCAACACACACGTTCATAGACACACGTGCACATGTGCAAAGAAGCACACACACTATTGAGCTGTCTCCTTGAGTATTTAAGTTAATTTTTCTATTTTGATGACTGTGCCAAGATTCTTAGAATAGATATAATCTGTGGTAGACAAGATTGAAAGAAAAGTTTTTCTGAGATATAAGATTCTTTCCTAATTATGAATACATTTTAAAAGATTTTTTCTTTTTTTAACTTTATTGAGAGATCTATTACTCACAGAGAAGAATGCAGAAAGCTCCAAAATATTAGAATAAAATCTATGTAACCATCACCCAAGTCAAGAAATGGAACATGCCAGGCACTACCCCAATCATAAGCTCTTCTCCCTGAGGAATAACCACCACCCTGATTTTATAACACACTTTTCAGATTTCAAATGTAATCATCAAGTTCTAATTCTCTCAATCTGCTCAGCCTTGGTAGGAAAGTGGCTGATATTTGAGGTCAGTGGCAAAAGGGACCATGTACCACATGCCTGAGTATTCAACCTAAGAAGCATTACAGAAAAGAAATGAACATGCTATTCTAACTAAAGCATTTATCATTAAATCTAAAAAATAATTCTAAGAACCTGTTATTTATTTACTCTTAAAATAAATTTCTTGGTTGGTAGGATATATTCAGAATGTATAAAGCCCTGTTTTGTAAAAGAAAAGGAAACATAACACTCAGAGATAATAACTATGAAAGTCTGGGAATAAAAGTTTTTTCACATTTTTCTATAATAATATTAATATATGCCAAAAGAGAGAACAACATTAAATTGATTCTTAAACATAACACTTACAGAAAGTGGAAGAACAACAACAACAAAAAAATGCACAGAGCTACATTGTAAAGTGACCTAATCCCAACCCTCACTCCCAGGAGTCACCATCACTACATTTTCCTTGTAAGAAATAAAGGGAGGATTTTCAGTTACTTCCTTCTCCTAATTTCTCTATAGGGGATGAATGTGGGCACCCTCCACTCATTGAAGATAAATTGTCCAGGAAAATGAATTACTTTACGAGTGAGTGAGTGAAAGCTGCTCAGTCTTGCCCAACTCTTTGCGATCCCACGGACTGACTGTACAGTCCATGGAATTCTCTAGGCCAGAACACTGGATTGGGTCGCTTTTCCCTTCTCCAGGGGATCTTCCCAACCCAGGAACTGAACCCAAGTCTCCCGCATTGCAGGCAGATTCTTTATCAGCTGAGCCACAACATACACCCATTCTAAACATGCAGTCTCCTCTCCTTTCCTGCTCCAAAAATATTTCTCATGAATAATCATTTCTTTAATTTCTTTCAAACAAATCTAGTGTTTTCATTACCGAAATATTACCCTTTTAATCAACCAAAGAAGGCTTGCTCTGGCCTCTGTCCGTATTCATGTGTAAACTTAATGCTAAATTAATATAACTTTAATACAGCTGCTTTGTACTCCTTCCGATAACCCCACCGGATCCCTGTGAAAGCATTTTCACCTGTAGGTTACATTTGTTCAAATTAATAAACAAACATGATACAACATAAAATCTTGCTTTACTACATGATATGAGGATTGATATTCTTTTACTTTATTATAAGGATTCAAAATGAAAGAGAAAAAAGTTTCTGAATGAAAATGATTTTTCATTCAAGTGCAGTAGGGTTTCAGCTGAATTACATTACCTTGGGTATTCTCTCCTGGCATTATGTTTCCATGGTTCATAAAGCAGTTACTCTATATTCATGTTTTTCTTCTTACAGTTTTATTGAGATATAACTGACATACAGCATTTGTAAGTTTAAGGTGTACAGCACAGTGATTTAATTTACATCATGAAACGATTACCACAATATGTTTAGTGAACATCCATCATTATCATATAGATACAAAATTAAATAAAAAATTTTTTCTGAGGATTTACTTTTTTTAAAGATTTTTTTTATACAGACCATTTTTACAGTCTTTATTGAATTTATTACAATATTGCTTCTATTTTATGGTCTTGTTTCCTTTGGCCATGAGGCATGCGGAATCTTAGCCCCCCAACCAGGGATCAAACCCATTCGCCCTGCAATGGAAGGAGAAGTCTTAACCACTGAATTACCAGGGGAGTTACAGGATTTACTCTCTTAACAACTTTCACACATAACATATAGCAGTATTAACTATATTTACCATGCTTTACATTATATCTCTAGTACTTACTTATAACTGGCGGTTTGTACCTTTTGCTGCCTTCATTTAATTCTTCATCCTCTCACTTTCCACCTCTGGCAACCACAAATCTGATCTCTTTTTCTATTATGAGTGTATGAATGACCTACCACACTATGTTAGTTCTTGGCACACAACTTAGTGATTTGGTATTTCTATACATTATAAAATGATCACCATAATTAATCTAGTTACCATCTGTCACCACACAAAGATATTACAATGATACTGACCATATTCCCCTTGTTGTACACTTCATCCCATGATTCACCTATTTGGTAACTGGAAGTATATTCACTTTATTTTCACAATTTCTTTTCTGATTTATGAATCAATAAAACATGACCAGTTCTTAGTTATCCATAAACAAGATGTAAGAGTATTTTAAGTTTGTCTAAGTTTAATAAATGTTCTCTTCCTTTCATGAATGTATACAATTGGCTAAAATATTTTACTTTCACCTTCTTTGTTCATCTTTGAGTGGTAATGCAGTGAAGCTTTTAAGCAAAAGCTTTTTAAGCTTTTAAGGAAAAAAGGGAAAACAAAGGAGATATAAGTTGACTAGCATTGGATCTGGATTTATCAAGAAAATACCTTATTTAAGGTTTTTTTTAATAGTGCACTCCCACAAAGATGTTTATTTTCAGAATCACAAATAAGACAGGTCTGTATGGCATGAATAGTATAGTGTGACCTCATTAGAAAAATCACACCCACAGAAAGTTTCTACTCTAAGGGAAACACAGTCGTCTTTGACAGAGACTTGAGAGTGAGTGCCCACAGAGGGAAGGTCTCTTGCGGAGGCAGTTCAAGCAGTCCAGGTAAGAGGACCTCCCAGTCAGACTGACTTCAAAACTTAGTTCTGAGGTGCCTTGATTTCAACAACCAGACGCCAAGGATGGTCATCTTGTTCTGAGATGTGCAAGGAAACTGAGGCTGCCGTCCCAAGTAGCTCTAAGCAGAGACGAAGTGCATGCCCAAAGGAAATCATCTGAGAAGCATGCGGCTAAAAGTCCTGTCCAACAACCCTAATGAACTGCAACATCATTCTGCTGGTTATTACTTCTCATGTTTGAAACTATTTAACAATATTCACTCACTGGTAATTTCCTATTAGGGCACAGAACCCCAAAACACACACTTCTAAACTATCTGGTCTATCGATTATCTTTGTTGTGGGCCTCTAGAAAAGTGTAAATATAACTTTGGTGTGAATTTTTTAAAAAAAGACTCCTACTCACATGAGACACTGTTGATGATGGATTTAGCTCTAAAGTCCTTCCTCTGGATTCATCTTTGACTTAGTATGTAAATACAAACATGCATTTATAAGACTGTTGGTAAACTTTAGTGATGAGAGACGGCTAGAGTGTATGTTGATGGCGTTAATTGCCACTGGAATTCCTTCTAAGGCCCTGGTCTCCTGAATGCACTGTTCTTTATAATTCAGCTAAGAAGTCTTGACATCAAATATAAAATGACCATCCAAAATTTCACACAGCACTGCGGCTATACTGATTTACTGAATAAATAAGATCTACCCAATGTAGTCGGAACAATACTTTTAATTAAACTTGAGATTCCCCCTCACTTTCTTCCTTCAAAGCGCTGCTCTCCGTGTATCCACGCACCATCAGCAGTGTCATCGCCTAGCCTGCTGTGCTCCAGGTTTGCACTCTGGAGAGTGCTTGCAGTGGAAGTCTGGTCAGGCGAAGGGGAAACAAGTCAGACTGAGACAGCCAAGACTTCCCTGGGAGGCCTTCTTTCCTCCCAGTGTTAGATGTCTTTCCCCTTTTGGGAAGTTTTCCATCACTACTGTGATCTAAAGGTGCACAGTATCACAGGACTGGGTCCCTGCAACTAAGCAGGAGCGTGGTTACTTATTCTCCTTGGCCTCAATTCCAGATTCTAACAGCTTTAAATCTCTGTGGCTACTGGGCTGTGCAGGGTCTGAGGCTAGGCTAGGGTTCCACTGCAATGAGTCTGGTTCTCTCTCTCAGTCCGGTGTGCACCGAGATTGTGTGCAGAATCTCACAAAGTTCAAACTTTGTGTTTTTTTTTTCCTTCCAGTAAAATAACTATAATCAGTGCATACTAAGTTCTTACCAAATAACCTAATTCAAATTTCTCCCAACTTTGCATGCTGCCCAGAGGGTGTCCACTTCCAGAGAGAACAGAATACAAGGAAAGTACTTGAACAGAAAGAAGTGTGGGGGAGAACTTTAGGGCAAAAAATTCCCAGACAGGATAAATGGTTAAGTACCACAATGAGTTATTATGCTGTGGACACTGACTCACTCTTTCTCCTAATCCCTTCTGCTTAAGTCTCTGAAAAAGGACTACTTTTCATAGAGTGATGTAGACTAGGTTGACTTTGCCATGCCCATACATTAATGGAACGGGACACTTCATGAAGAAGTGCTCTCTTCATCACTGGAAGTAGTCAAGAGGCTGGAATACTCAAAAA